TGCTTTCATGACCTCTTCTTCATTATCTTCATAAAGACCGATGAATGCAATGTCATAAGCAGATTGATTATACAGTTCTTTATATACTTGAGCTGCTTTAATACCATCATTAAAGGTATCGAATGCATCAACTTTTTCAACCACTTTAAAATATGTTAATATTGCATTTCTCATATTTTTGACTGGGTGAATTATTAATATTCGTTTTTTTCTTATAAAATAAGGTAATGTATAGTTTATTTGCTTATGAAATTTTGCCTCTAACAATGAGGAAGCTGGAAGTTTTGAATTAGTTGGTGATATCGACGATGGAATAGTTGGTGATATCGATGATAATAGTTCTAAATTCCATGTAAACCAAAATTTACTTCCTTCTCCCAATTGACTTTCTGCTTTAATTTCTCCCCCATTAATTTCTACTAAACTTTTACAGATTGAGAGACCAAGTCCTGTACCATCTTGCTTTCTGGTTATTGACATGTCACTTTGTGAAAAACTTTTCCAGGCATGTTGTATATATTCAGGATTCATGCTATTATTATTAAACGAATAATTAGATAAGTTACATGTCAGAACATTAAATATATAATCATAAGTGACTCACCCAATGCCAGTGTCATATACTTCAATCAACAGAATTCCTCTTTTATTCATTTGATCATAAGTCGAACTCATTTTGTTTTCTTCAATATCTTCTTTCGATAACATTGAAATTGTCAGTACGATTTCACCTTTTTCAGTAAATTTAACTCTAAAAAAATTAATAATGAATTAGTCTATAAAAAAAAAATAATAATAATAAAGGTAAACTTAATTATGTAAACATCATTACGAATTTGATAATAAATGTGATAAAACTTTTTTCAGCCTATTTGATATAAAAAAAAAAACAAGGTAAGTATTTATTTATTTTATAAGCTGCATGGGTTTTAATTACCTCTCAGGATCACTTTTAACATATCTCGGCAACTTAAATACATCATAATTTACAATCAATTCAATTTTTTTATCTCCCGCACTTT